CCTCTGAAAAGTTTTATTGGGACAAATTCATAGTTCAGTTTCATTCAGAGCGTTACCTCATCACCATGCAATTAACCATTTCTGGGCTTTTACAGATACAATGTCCACATGGAGTAGACACTGTAGACCTAGGAAATGAACAATTTCTTCATGTAGTGTCTTCATATCTGCCCACACAGTTTTACAGTAAAAGGAGCATGTTCATATTTCCCTTTTGGTGTGCACAGTCTGGAGCGTGGGTGACTTGGTCCTCAATATCAAGGATGTGTTCTGTACTCTAAGTAAATACTTTGGCAATCTATGTGACGATGGAAATCCCCCTAAGATGAAGGCAGGATCCTACCAACCCCTCCCACCTCCAGAGCCTACAGCTTCTGAAGTGTTGCAGGGCCCAGTGGTGTGTACAAGGGCTAATTGCACCGAAGCAGTCCTCTGCCTGCAGGAAGAGCTGGACACATCAGAGCCACTTCACCAAGAATAATTCTATTGGACATCTGAGAATCTTACTGATTATTTCCTCAACCTGTGAAATCCATTATCTACAAATCTACAGAGTGCATAGGTTTAACAGAGGATTGAGAAATCAGCTTCTTGTTCTTGTGAAGTTGAGTTATAGAGCGTTCTGACATTTGCTAAAGCTTTATTGTCAAGTCAGGTGAAAGATGCTTTTGTCTATGCAGTCCCCTTAATACCCATGACAACAAGGAGAGTTTTTTGATAACACCTGAAAATAAATCAGTGTATCTTTCAAAGTAACATCATTTATCCTGTTTCCAAAGTGAAATAACTCAAAAACATGAAAAAAATGAGCCAAACTTCCTTGCACAATCTCAATTTCATGCTTAGGTATGACACACTATAATGTTTAAGATCTGTAATCATGTGTTTTTCCACTATGTCTTTGAATCATTCAGAGCTCAAGATGATGGCTGTTTGGCAAATGATGTATCAATTCGATATTTATTTTTGTCCTTATTGTTTAGAGATTCTATAGGTCCCTTACTGACAGACACCATAAAACTCTATCAGCCATGGGCAAAGTGTTCCAATGGTTGGAGGAAGTAACACTGCATGCTGCTCCACTTTCCATTGATGATTTTTTTTTTTTATGATTGGTGATTGGGTGAATCATTACTTATAATTAATTTTTTATACAAGTATTTGGAAACAAAGGCTAAAAATCATTTGAATTCCACAGTTTTGAGAGGTATGTAGGAAAAACTTTGCAAAAAGAAGTCAATCATTGACATAAATGAATACCTATTTGGAATAATTTGGGAAAAAAAGCCTGCATGTGGTAAAGTTGGCCAGCAAGTCTGCATTGCAAAGTCTTCTTTCTAAGTAATCATCTATATTACTACATTGAATGTGTTTGATGAAGGGGGCTCTCCAAGCAGGTAAATGATTGATTTTCAGTCTGACTGCCAAGTAAGAAAAACATTAAAAATTTATTTTTAAGTGCTATTATATCTTTCCTCAGAAATACAAAAGACACAAAACTTTCCCTGGTGATTACAATATTCCATATAGCTCAAATAAAAAAAAAATCTGGTTGGTGCTTATGCAAAGAAATTGAGTTGTTGAAAAGTGTTCTTTTCCAAAACTGATTAAGGAAAAAACAGCCTTTTACCCAACCTGCTATCAGCCTTTTACTCAAGAGCTTAGAATTTTGAGCCCTTACTGATGTGCAGCATTTCAGAATCAAGACCATCTCTGCCAGAGAACAGTTTAGCCTGGGAGACACTAATCACCATGTCAAGGAGGAGGAAGGAGGACTTTAAAAAAAAAAAAAAAATTAGAGGACTTTTCATGGATTGGGAAGCAGATCTGTTTAATGTTTTTTTGTTTGTTTGTTTGTTTGTTTTTTTAATTCAGGTACAGCTGGAAGAGGATGTGTATGGTGTGACCACCTCAAATAGCCTCCTAGTGTGAGTCCTGAAATAGGAGAGCTTTTATCTCATGCCTATGATGTGCCTGGCAGAAGGTGTTATGTTTCTAAGGGATTGTGAAAGCCAGTGGCTTAGAGTGCTTTTCGACCTGGGCTTTCTTTGGAGTTCTTCCACTTTGTAGAAAATTAATTGCATACGTAGTGAGAACACACAATGATTTTCCCATGTGATGAGTAGGAAATTTGTTGAAGCCTAGAAATACCTGTGTTTAAAAGTGAGCTCTTGGGGGAGTCAGGCATTCCTTCCACATGCACAACTGGCTGTTTAGGCCACTTACACCTGAGGCAGGATTCAAGGGTGGAAATGACCCTGATTTTCCCACAGCAAGTTTCCCATGTTATATAAAGGTTACATCATGCTGTCATTGTCTTATGTAAAAGTGCTAATCATACTAACAATGGTATGAATTCAACAGGTATTTGCTAAAAAAGAAGGGGTGAATAAGTCCCATTTTTTTTCTGGTAAATTTACGTTTTTCTTAAAAAACAATTACCTAGAGGCACTCCTGAGTTAATCACAGAATCTTATTTGCTATTTTACAATGATTTTTGCACTTCAAACCGGTTTGATGATTTTCATATTTGCATTTTTGAATCTGTGTCAACTAACTGTGGCAGGAGAGCCTGCCCTTCATAAGACCTAAAATCCAACACAATGCACTGCTGGTGCCAGCGTGCTGTCTTGGTGTTAAAGTACGCTAAGACCATGCTGGTTCACCAGACTGCTATTGAAACAGGATTTGACAGATAAGCTAGTCTGCTGGCTTGTAGATCTGTGACTAGCAGTCAATCACTTTATACAGTATAAAGGTCCAGTCCTCTGGCATACAGTCAGGTTCATCTAACATAACCCTTCTTGGGGTGCATGTGTGGAGATTCCTCCCTGGGCTGGGGATGCCCTCCAAGGTTACTCCCACAAGCGTTGGTATGGGTGAGCTACGCCAGACCTCTACTTAATAAATACTCCTTTTTGCCACCTTTAGTGCAACTGCTTCAATAATATTTTGTTACCGTGCTCTATACTACTTTATGCTCTATTATACTCTACTAGTAGATTTTTAGTGTTCATATTGTATAGTAAATATTTCTGATTAAGATCTTTTGTCTGATCATTTGTATAGAATAAATTATTCGTTTTATATAAATATTCTCATTTTGCCAGTCATTAAAACCTGCTGGACACTACAACCTCCCTCCCAAACTGATCTCACTGGGGGGTCTGGCATCTGTCCCCTAGAGACATCTCACCTTAGGGGAAGGTTGGAGGGACAGGTGCTAATCCCATCTTTCTGACCAGATTGCAGTACTCCAGTAAGACCCACTCCTCACCCAGCCAACCCTCTACACATGAAAGCTCTGATAGGAAAAGGGAGGACAAGGGCTGCACACACAAACACTGTTCACTCGCTGTAAAAACAAGCAGTGTCAGAACATCATCACTCAGGTGGGGAAAAAAGGGAGGGAAGAAGAAGGAATAACAATGAGGGAGAGATAAAACAGGAAGAGGAAAACACAGAATCAGGTGGAACCATGCTGCATACACTGGCCCAGACCCAAAACTAACACTGCATTTAATGTGAGACTGCAGCAGTATTGGCACTTAATAATTTCAGCCTAATTTGAATGCATCTTGAATTATGATAGTATCATGATATTGCTCTGTTGCTCCTCACTGATAGGTGAGTCTTCAAGTTCATGGTGTCTTATCTCTTCTGTTGACCTTCTTCACTTCATCCTGGGTCTGACATCTCTCTCTTATACTTTGGACAAGATATTGTACTTTCCTACAGTACTCATAAAAAGCACTGCAATCAATCTTTTAAAACTGTAAGTTTGGATTTTGCTATCAAATACTTAACAGAATATTTTTCTCTGTCCCTAAGCAGAGACTGAATTTACCTTGCAGGAGTTTTTTCTTCACTTCCCCTATTCAATTCTTCGAAGATGCATATTTGCGGAAAGGAAATTTATGGTTTTGTTCCCATGTTCTCCTCTCCTAGGTTGTCAGGTATTATCCGGGTTAAGGGCTGTCTTTCTTGTTTCCTCATTCTTTGTGCGATTCACACAAACATCTTCCCTTCTCTCTACTTTAGACGATGGACTAATCTCATTCTAGCTCTTCAGCTCAGGTATTTACGTGTGCAACAAATAATAATTAACGGGAAAAAAGTATTTAAAGTGCTCACTCCAACCTAGCACTACAAAGAGCAATACCGCCAAGGAGTATTTTTTTGACTTCACGCTAGCAGGCAATTTGTAATTTTGCGGCTAGGAGCAGCTGGATTCCTGCTGAAGAGGAAGTTTTCGGGGCTTGAGGGTGCTTTTCCTTCCTTCTGCCAGCAAACAGCGATCCACGCCAGGATTTGCTTTCTACTCCTGTATTTCGGCGATGCAATGTGCAGCACGTTTCTCTCTGTGTATGTGTGTGTGTGTGTGTGTGTGTGAGAGCGTGTGTGTGTGTGTTGTGTGTGTGTGTTGTGTGTGTGTGCGTGTGCGGCTCTCCCTCGCTGTGTCTTGTCTCCAGGATTTCTCCCTGCCTGGCTCCGGAGGCTGCTCCAGCGCTGCGCGGAGCAGAGGTTTCCCCGGCTCCCGTAAATACAGGCACACGCATCCAGAGCACCACACGCACGCACAGCACACACACACACACACAGAGGCACACAGGCACGCTCCGAGCCGCTGTCCAGTCCATCCCCACGCCGGCTGCCTTTCCCACCACCTCCATCCAGCCTGGCAGAGGCGGCAGGCACAGCTCCGTGGCGGATCTCGCTGCTGCTGCCCCGGGACTCCGCTCGCAGCAACGCGCCCGCGGTTTCAATCTTCACAACCTACAGCCAGATTTTTTGCCCCCTTTTTTCCTTTTCCTTTTTTTTTTTTTTGGTTTGGGGCTTTCTGGTTGTGGCTTTTTTTTTTTTGTTTGGGTTTTGGTTTTTTTGGTTGTTGGTTGTTTTGGTTTTTTTTTTGGCGTGGGGCGAGCGCTTTGCTTTTGGCTTCTGGAGAAGGAGCCGGGGGGGGAACAAGGCTACCGCTCCCCTGCCCCCGCCGTGCGCGCATGTGTGTGTGTGCGCGCCCATCTCCTCCCCACCTCGCAAAAGTTTGCCTGGGCGGCCGGGGGGCTCCCGGGCCGCCGCCCCCGCAGCCGGGGGGCGCGGCGGAGGCGCGGCGGGGCGCTGGAGGCGGCGGCGCGGGACTTGCGCGCCGCGCGGGAGTTGCGCGCCGCGCCATGCCGGCAGCGCGGGGGGCTGCGCGGCGCTGCGCCCTGCCGGGGCTGCCGCTGCCGGGGCCGCCGCCGCCGCTGCTGATGCTTCTGGTGCTGCTGGTGCTGCCGGCCGCGGGGGCCGAGGGCAAGGCGCGGAGCTGCGGCGAGGTGCGGCAGGCGTACAGCGCCAAGGGCTTCAGCCTGGCCAGCGTGCCCTACCAGGAGATCGCAGGTAAGGAAGGGGCCGCGGCAGCGGGGCGCGGGCGGGGGCCGCGGAGCGGGGACGGCGCTGCCGCCGCCGCCGCCGAGCTGCGCGCACCCCCGCGGGAGCGCGGCCGGGGGTGGCGGGGGCGTGTGCGCGGTGCGGAGCGGCTGTGCCGACCCGGGCGGCACCCGGGGGCTTACCGGCGGAGCGTGTGCGTGCGTAAATAATGATTAAATAGACACAGAAACTAAGGGGGTGGGGGTAAAAAAAAAAAAAAAAATTAAAAAAAATAGGGAGAGCTAGGGGAACGCTGGCTAGCTCAGCCGCGGTTCTGTTCGCCGGCAGAAACTTCTTGAGAGTTGCTGCCGGGCGGCGAGAGGCAGCGGGCGGGTCCGCAGTGGCGGCTGCCTCCGCTGCCGCCCTGTGCGGGCGAATAACTTTGCCCTCTGCCCGCGGGCAGAGGGAGTGCGGGAGGCTGAGGAGGAGAGTGAGGAAGGCAGTCCTGCTCCCCTCCCGCACCCCGCCGCAGCCCCGGACCGGGCGGGTCGCCCCTTGGAGGCGCCGCCGGGCGCCTCCGCCGCAGCCCGGATCGAGCAGAGGCACCGGCTGCCGGAGAGAGGCACCCACTCACATAAACACACGCCCGCTCCTCCGCCCCGGAGCCCGGGCAGCCTGTTACGTGGCTCTTCTGTCTGCTGAAACATGCCTACAACAGGTTATATCTCAATCCACCTACGAAGGTGTTGGGAATGTTTTTTGTTGTAATTTTATTTCCCTGCTTTTCCCTACAACCTTATCACTATTGCATGACCGAATGAATGAAAAATACGTCCGGGGCCGAATAATCCGTTAGCAATCGGAGAGCACCACAAAAAAAAGAGAGAAATTATATGGGAAGACATGAACTGGGGCTTCTTAAATCGGACTGCTTGAGCCCTCAGGAAAGGTTTATGCTTTGCCACTGGCACTTTGCTGTTAGGTCCTGCTATTTGTAGAGTGAGTTAGATGCTACTTGGTTTGCTCGCTTCCTTTTCAAAGTTGGAAGCAGTAGATTTATATTCCTTGAGGTGAAATAACACCACAGTTATTCACTGTGCAGTATTTAGCACTTTACATGAGGAATGATAAATGTGGAAAATCTCAGGACAGCGGGGCTGTAGTTCACAAAGATACTGGGAAGGTTGTTCCGTGTTGCCAATGCAGAACAGACCAGATCTCTCCACAGCCACGTTTGGACCCACTGATGTGCTTTAGGACATGGCAGGAGAGTAAAGGGCCTGTAAAGTAACAGTAAAGTAACTGTTCCACAGGCACCTTCGTTCCTCAGGCTTCTCTGATCTTTCTGTGCATTTTCTTTTAATTTATTTTCAGGTGGCTCATCAGTTATTTGAAATCATGAAATCTCTCCTGTGAGCCACAGATCCTTTGAATGTGCAGTCAAGCTTTCCCTTTGCTATTATACCAGTTGCTTTGAAACAGGGTGGAAGGATCTGTTCTCTCCTATTAAAAAAGGAAATCCAGTAAATTTCAGACTTCTGTTAACTTTGGTTAAACACTTGTTGCTTTCAGCTCACAGAATTTTATTGTCTCATATATTTTCTGAATATACCGTGCAAACTTGACACATAAGTTTTAAGTAAGCCCAGCATTTGCACATTTCTGTTGACATGTATCAATATACAAAGACTCAGAGTAATTAAATATTTAGTAGTAGTTCAATCCAAAATTACTCAATGGTTTCCTGCTAAGTTTCATAAGTAATATCTACTTTTATGATTAAGAAGTACATGATTTATGCAGATATGAGTTATTTTTTCTGAGCTTTCTATTGAAGTTGATTGTTTTCTTTGTGGTTTATCTGCCTTGTTACTAGTTGGTGTGTCAACTTTTGAGCAGTTCTGTTTGTAGCTGTTCAAGTTACTCAGTTGTTGGAAGACTAGGATTACTTTAAGGTGTGTTTCGGAGTATGCTCTTCTTGTATGTTTCTGAGAGGTTGTGTAATAACTGTTCATGCAGCTTGGGCTCTTGTTAAAGTGAAAGCTATGTGTTTGCGACCTGCTGCAATGTTGGAAGTTTACTTAAAGCAATCAATGTACAAGTTTCAGATTCTTTTTCCTTTTTTTTTTTTTTTTTCCCATTCTGTCTTTTTTCTACCTTACTGATTTGGTTAAGGAAGCAATTTGTTACTGTTACAAAAGAAGTGTAGTATGTCAAAGGCCTCATGTTTCAAGGAGTTCAGGGAACTTTAATTAGACTCATATTTCTGAAAAAACATTATGTTTTCAAAAGATTTTGCCTTAATGCCTTGATAATACAATGACAAATAGTTATGCACAGCGTGGTTTGTGTGTTTGATTTAACATTAGTCAAATGCTTTCAATTGTCATTTATTTAAAAGCTACTTTCTAGCTAGGACTATCGAAATGAATAAACTGAAGGCGTAGTATGTATGTACTGATGCAAAGTGTGTATGTGCTGATGCAAAAAGCTGAAGAATCTGTTTGAGAGGCTACGGACACAGAGTTATCTCTCTGTGAATGGAACTGCAAGAGAAGACTTAGATAACTTCTGTGACATTATTTATACTGTCACTTTTGAACAGAGAAGGTAGAAGTTACAGATTAAAAAAGCTGTCAGTTTTTGCGTTTTAAGGCAAGGTTTTCTTTCAGTATTTTGTTGCACATGAAATATGTTGAAGTTGGTAGTAATGGGACTAGTTCACTGTACTTTTACAACAATGCTAAATTTTTCAATGTAATTGTATAGAAGTTCTTTGTAATCAACCTGCTCTGTCTGACATCTTATCTGATCACCTAATTCTGGTGCTGTGACTTGCATTAGAGTACAGCATATAAAGTTGTTTTCCAGCATAGGTTGTCAAAGTAAGTCCTTAATAAAGGAGCTTTGCCTGGGAACGTGGGGAGGAAGAAAATTTGAAGTATATATAATATGCCACTTTGGGCTTGATTCTGTGCATCAGTCGCATGCAGGGTTGGTAGCAGGAGCTTGCAGTGTAAGCTTGGCTGTCCTTGCAAAATCTACCCTCTCTGAGTGCTGCTGTGGAGTATCCTACATGTGAAGAAGAGTTCTGCTGTGAGACTCAGGCTGCCGTGACCCAGCATTCATGAGCATTAGCGGAGCTCCTGAGGACTTTGCAGGAAATGTTTTGCTCTAGGAAAATCTGTGATTTGAAAGTCAACACTACAGAGAAGAATCATAGCACATATCTGTTAGCAATAGTTATTTAACTCCAACTATGATTTCAGTAGCTCACATCATCTTAGAGGAAGCCATGAAAATGAAACATCGAAGTTAAAGTTGGAGTGTGCCCTTGCCTAAAAGTTTTCTGAATGAAAGTGAATGTCTGACTGTTTAAAGTAATGTATGTGTCTGTTTTGTGCCTTTCTACTTTCAGTTGTTCTAGAGATTCTGAAAGGTGAAGGGTGTGGGGGTTTTGTGTGTTGTGGTTTTGTTTGGGGTTTGTTGTTTGTTGGTTTTGTTTGTGGATTTTTACCACATACTGAATAATACTTTATTTAGAGAAAAACTAGAAGTGTTCTTGTAAAGGTGTCCAATTGTAAAGATGTTGAATTCTAAATGCTGTGTAAGAAGTATGTGGGCTTTGTTCTTCTGTGCAGATGAGGAACGAGGTGAGATTCTGGCAACACAGAGACACTGTAGTCAAAGTAACTGAAATGAAAGCAGAAGCAAACCCTTCGTTTTGAAGGTCAGGAGTCACTTAAAATTGTGCTTTGATGAATGGGCTTCATACTGGCATAATACAGAGGTGTTGACTGAAGTGAGCTAGCGAACATATCACAGTTGCTTGCAATTCTAAACTGGTAATAATTATGGTAATAATAATAACAATAGTAATACCTTGATAGTCACTCATGCAATTAAGCTGTTAGTCCATGTCAGATGTTCCCAAGATAATCCTTCTGCATGTTTTGCTTTCCTTTAAGCAGCTCTAAAATGCAATGATAGATTGACAGAAATACTGAAAAACGCTCCTGACCAATTCCGTATCCAAGCACTTATTCATTAATACCTTCTTTTACTGTTTCTCTACTGCTGTCATGGAGAACCGTGTGAAGAAAATACCTGTACTCCAGGAGGAAGATAGGGATTCATAGGCACCTTGAATGGTTGCCTCAGCAGTGTTAAAAAAAAAAAAAAATAGACTTACTAAAATCAATACTGTATTCAGTGCAGCTTGTGAAATCTGTGTTGGTCCGTTAGAGATTAATTTGCTCCTGATCTCCATGATGGCAATGAAGATGGACATGGAATTTCATGTAGTCTTTGTACTTTTTTATTTTAGCGCTGTTGTAGTTGTATCCTTCAAATTGTGTGTGACTACCTCTCACCTCTGTTTGCAATTTCAGTAACTGCAGTGACACCTCCCCTTACGGCCTCCCTTATTTTCGTGTTGTGGGTGCCTGGTGCATGCTAATAAATTGGTGTGTGCATTTAGCTAGGAGGATGTGAAGCTTTCCTAAGACCTGGATTTACTGTCACTTCTGTACATATTTACTGGTTTGTATGCGACTGATGCCATTAAAAGGAATACAACTTACATATGCACATCTAAACCTAAAGGTACTGTTTGTTAGATCAGGGCCTTTAAAAAGAAATAGCACGTTTTTAATGCTTATAAATTATTCATTTTTGAATGAGAATTTTAAATCTTGGCATCTGGAGTTTCCCAATGTGACTTTATGCTTGAATATCTTGGAAAGAGGGACCTTAAAGTAGAAAAGGCAATGCTTTAATAATTAGTGTAATGATTAATTTCAGTGTATTGTCTCTAATCATCTTTTTTCTTTCTGTTGTCAGTCTGATTTGTAATCAAAAAGCATACCTAAAGCTATAGTATTTTCTACACTTCTAAGTGCTAATGTATTAAATTGTTCTAATACTGTACTAGTACTTATTTCATCGTATGCTGTTGTGAAATACTCCTGAGATTAGGTGGTGTTCAGACACCAGAGAGGTCAAGCACTATGTTAAAAGCTCAGGCCATT